AAAGCCGTGGCCGGCCAGCCTGGTGGCACGAAGGCCGGGGGATTTGGAGAACCTGTCTGGGATGGCTGGCACCTGTTTCCCATCACTTAACACACAGCAGAAGACAATCGCTGGCTCAGCAGCACAGGGATATACAGCCAACAGGTGACCGGCCCCGCCAAGGGCGGCTCCTCCTGGGAATCGCCCCCCAGGCACCGTGGGGTGTGTGGGGCAAAGAGGGATAAAGGGATCCTTCCTGAAATCACCAAGCTGCTGCATGTCTCAAACTCGCTGTACCTCTGCTTTGGTTTGGCTGTGCCATGTGTGCTGCCTCCCCACGCCATTTCCTGGTGGTTGGTTTGAGTTTTGTCACCCTGTGAAGTCTCATGGATCCTGTCTGGAGTGGGGATGGAAGATTTCCCTGGAGTGATTGCCCAGTGACAAGCTATTTTTTAATTTAAAAGGAAAAGATTCTTGCATCTGATGTCAACACTAGTCTGTAGCTGCTCTCCAACACTTGTACCATTCCTGAGTTGGTTTTTTTGGACTATCCTTTTATTTTTTTATTCCTTTGTACAGTCAGTGTTGTTCAACTGATTCTACATTGTTTTGTATAAATTAAAAGTCTTTTTGTTGTTTTGAACTACCAATTGAGGAAAAGTTGTATCAGTTTTTGGGAAGAGGTGGAAGGGAAAAAGGTGGTGGTATTGCACATGCCTGGGGATTTGGGGCTGTTGGTGGTATGGATCCCATTTCCAGATCATCCACAAAATAACTTGAATTACATTTTCTGGGRAGCCATGATTCCTGGCTGTGGTGGSTTTTTGCCCTTTTCCATAGGTGCAGAAGATAAATCTCTTCTTGATTCTCACAGAACTGATGATTTGGGGTAGTGGAGCCCTGAGAAAACACAAACTCTTCTCCAACAGGGTTGGTCCCCGAGGGGGCTGGAGGAAACCAGGCTCTCCAGCAGCTTGCCAGGAATTGTACCCAGTCCCTGCTCCACCGGGACAGGACAAGTACAGTCAAAGCCTTAAATCCCTTCTTTGGGTCTGGCTGATCCTGGGGGAGCAGTGAGTGCTGTGGCTACAGTCACCCATCCTGCCCAGACTGGAGCAAGCGGGAAGCCATCTTGGGATAAATGGGACTGAAATGGAGAGGATGCTCTGGGGAGCTCAGAACACCAATGTCACACCAGGGTGGCCTTTGGAGGCACCAGGAGCCCCAAAAAAGGGGGATTTGATCCTGGGRTGGAGGGAGACTTCTTGTCTGATCCCCTTCTCCCAGCCCACCTCCCCCTGACCTCCGTTTTCCCCTGCCTTCTCACTTCCCTAGGATCAGATTTTCCACTTCGTACCAGACTGGTCATGCTTGTTTTAACAGCTTAAGTGGTAATTGCTGGGGCTGGGAGGGGGCAGGGGGAAATGAGATCGTGTCTGCAGCCTGGAAAACCCTGGAGCTAAGGTGAAAGCCTGGTCAGGGAAGAGTCACGCAGCTTTTTTTTTTTTTTTTCTTCAGGGGGTTCTGGAAGTGTCTGTTCCCTCTCACAGGGCTGAAACAAAGGCTGTGTGTGGTTTCAGGTGGGGTCAGGACAGCCGGAGCCCATTACAGCGGAGCAGCGGGGGCTGCGGGGCCGCAGCTGTCTGCTTGGACAGGAACAGAAAACCCTGCACAGCCTGRGTGGGGTGGGAAGGCTGGGAGAGCTTCAAGGCTCTGCTCCTTGGAGARGGACAAGGGGACAGGTTGCTCTGGGATCATTCGGGTCGTTCCTCACGGAGTGTGTTTCTCTGCTCTCTGATGTGAGGTTTCTAGGGTTGGTCCCACTGTCCCATGTGGGCTGGGAAGAGATGGTGACCTTCATCCAACTGCAAGATGTTTGAAAATGAGGGTGCACCTCCTCAGGGTGCATTGGAGGGGCAGGAGCCCACTGGGTGCAGCCGATCATGGTGGCACATGGTCCTTCCAGACCATGGTGCTGAGTCACTTCCTTGTCTTGGAGGGAGAAGATGTACCATAAAATCCTCATCTGTGATCTTTGAAAGTAACCCCAAAAATCCTTGGTTTAAGGTGCGGTTGGTGCCTGGACACATGGAGGTGAACAGTTTGGAACTGTTGAGATGGTGAAACTACCATGGGCTTGGTCAGGGTGGGAAGAGTCGCTTCCTGTTCACCTTCAGCGGGACACACTTGAAGAGGCTGGCTGAGGGTCCCCAGGCAGGGTGAAGGTCTCAGGCTGAGTAGGGGTTCCAAGGTGTGAGTGAGGATCTCCAGTCATTGGGARCTGCATTTCCAACAGCACAGCAGCTGCCATTCCTCCATCCAGCCTTGCACCACTGAGGTGACTTCTGATCTCAGTGACATAAGGAGGCATCTTGGGCTTCAGTGTGAAATGCATGCCACCCTCTGGGGCTGTGTCTCTGGCCTTGGAGAGGGGCCATRGGGCAGGAATCAACCCAGACACCAGTGCTGGCATCATGCCGTAACCACACAGAGTCCAGCATGGTGATGGGCAGAAGTTGGGCTCCAGGATTTTTTCCCATTCCCTTCCTTCCCACACCAGTATCCTTGGAAGGACCCTGGGACAAGGTGGCTCTTTGCCCCTGGGCTGCATTTCTGGGGACCAAGATGCCCTGCATCTGCCATGTTGCATCCCAGCTGGAGCAAGGTGGGTTTGTGGATTGGGGATCTCCAGGCTGTGGGTACCTGGGGTCAGCGGGTTTCGGGCTGCCAGGACACGCAGGATACAGGCCCTGGCAGCTCCTGGCTGGGCTATCCTGATCCAATTCCCTGACTGCAAAATATCACTCTCCCCAGAGTGTCCCAGGGCAGCATAACCTTCCCTCAGCATCAGCAGCTGGATGGGCCCTTGGGTGGCGGCTTGGATGTGGAACAGGATCCATGGTCATGGCCAGCTGGTGATGGACCTGACTGTGCTTTGGGGTTTTGGGCCGAGTTGCCATGGGCAGCCCAGAGCCACCAGCAGTGCAGCAGGGAAGTGGCAGGGGTGGCAGGGGTGGCCAGTCACAGTGCTATGTCAGTGGTAGTGGCTGGAGGTCACCGTGCTGGAGCACTGTGGCTGCASCCCGCTCACACCAGTATGGGGGTGTTGAGGATACCCCAAATCACCTCGTCTGGGGCAAAAGGGCTTCCCCCAGGAGCCACAGWCTGCGGGAGCACCAGGCCATTACATGCAAAAGCAGCTCTGGGAATGTGGGTGGGTTGGATTTCTCCACTCCCAAAAAAAAACAAAGGGTTCCCCCCATTTGTTTCATCCCCTCCACCACCTGCCCCCCAGGAGGGGAGGCTGGAGGTGCTGAGCTGCTTCCCCCGGGCAAAACCCCCTCAGGTTTGCTGTTTCACAGGGGCTGCAGCCCCCCCTCAGCGCCAAGGCTCTCACCAGAGCCGGAAGAGTTAATGCTCCCAAAATGCCATGAAATGTTCTGCTGCAGGTCAGTCTCCATCGGGGATTAGGGGGATCTGGCCGGGGAGCCGGGGCCGGCTCCTGCCAGCTCGGGGCTGTGGGACGTGCTGGTTGAGCCCAAGCGCAGTATGCCGGGGTCTGGTGTGGCTCAGGAGACATCCCGGCTGTAAATCATCGGGGAGGGAGGGCTGGGAGCCCCGGGGGACTGGGGGAGCCCCTCCAGGGGGGCTGGGTGGGGACCCATCCCGCCAGGCGCGACAGAATCCTGTGCCAGAGCACGGCTGTCGTGGATGCGAGCTGGAAAGGGGGATGGATCCGTGCCGGTGTCCCGCTGCCGGGCACTTTCGGCGGTGGTGCCGGTGGACACCCAGAGATGCGGTGCGTGGTGAGGAGCTCCCGGGCCAGCCCGGCCCCGGCCGCCCGCAGCGGGGGCTCCGTGGGCTCCTCATGCCTCCCGCCGRCCGCCCCGTCCGAAGGGACCGCAGGCTCCGGCTGTTTTCTCATCCTGCTGGAATTCAGCTCCGTGGGCCGGGCGGGTTTTTGTGTGTCCCCCCTCCCTCCCTTCACTGTCCCTCTCTGGAGACTTTCTGCATTCTGCCTTTGATCTCCCCCCGTGTTTGCCCAGGGATCGCCGGGCTCGCCGGGGTTAGAGGCTGAGGTCAGCGCCTTTCCCATTCCAAACACCCAGAAACATCAGTGGGAAGGGAGGGGATTCAGATTACAACCTTCCCGTCCTCCCCTTCCACCCTACTCGCCCCGCTGGCCGTGCCGGGGATGGACTGAGCCCCGAGGGACACCCGCCGCTGCCGCCGTGTCCCCGGCGCCCCGAGAGCCGAGCGGCGGCGATGGATGGAGGCGGCGGGCGGCATCGCCGGTGGTCCGGCGGGCGCCGGGAGTGCTGAAGGACAGAGGTTTGGTCCTCTCCTCCTCCTCTTTGTCCCCCCGCCCGCCTTCTCCCTCATCCCGTCCGTCCTGAATGCGATTTATCCCGAGCCCTCGCCAGCGAGCCAGGCCGGCGGCGCGGGGTGGCCCGATGGCTCTTAGCGGGGCGCGGGGCCAGCGCTCCAGTGGGCGGCAGCGGATCCCCGTGGGCATCGCGCTTCTCCTGCCGGTGCTGGCGGCGGCGGCCGGGCTGAGCCTGCAGCCGGGCAGGATGCGGCACCTGGGCGTCTGCCCCAACCAGCTGAACCCCAACCTGTGGGTGGACGCCCAGAGCACCTGCGAGCGGGAGTGCCAGACCGACCAGGTGAGCAGGGGGCTGCGGGGGTGTCGGGGGAGTAACAGGGTTTGGGGGTTATCTCCAGGTCCCCGAGGGAGACGTTTTGGGGTGGGGGTCCCGTGCCGGGTGGCATAGCCGGTTCAGCCGTTTCAGCGCAACGGGATCAGCCCTGCTGCAGCTTTGCTCCCCCSACCCGGCAAGCCCCTGCTGTTGGCTGGGAGGGGTGCCATGACTGYTCCCCAGCCCTCACAGGCAGAGAAACTGTTTGTTGCCGCCTCATGTCAGCCCCTCAGGCCACGTCCCATGGTCAGAGCACCCCCAGGATGCTCCCAGCCCTTCAAAGGGCTGGCTGAATGAAGGAAATGCGTGTGCTGGGACACGGACCCCATCAGGCAGAGGACAGAACCCCCACCCAGCTTTTGTCTGAGGGCATGACCCCACCCATGGACCGGGTTGTCCATCCCAGATAGCCCTGGCTGTGGGCTCCAGCAGGGAGAGTAGGCGCACCAGCACTCCCACCCCGGTTAGGGCTGCCCGGACCCCGAGCTGAGACTCCTTCACAGTTCATCCGTATGGCGAGCTCTGCCTCCCCTCAACCCGCAAAGGGTGACGGGGAAGGTTGCTSTCTGCTCTGGGGAAGAAGGGACCGTCATCACTGCGGTGCACCCCTAAATATCCTGAGGGTGCTGAGGGTGGGCTGGGGCTGGCGCAGCTGTGCCGGGCAGGTCTGGCTCTAACCCGGAGCCCAGCGATGCTGAAGTGCACAGGGCTGCGCGGGGGACACCTGCCCACCCGAAAGTCCCACGGGGGTGGGAACGGCACCCACAGCCACGGCACAGCAGTGACCTCCATGTCCCCCCGCCGCAATCCCTTCTCCCTCCCCGGCCAGGACTGTGAAGACTTTGAGAAATGCTGCACCAACGTGTGTGGGCTGCGGAGCTGCGTGGCAGCGCGCTTTGCCGACGGCAGCGTTCCGGCGCTGGCGCTGGCGCCCGCCGCCTCCTGCGAGAGCTTCGTGTGCGCGCAGCAGGGCTCCGACTGCGACATCTGGGACGGGCAGCCCGTCTGCAAGTGCAAGGACCGCTGCGAGAAGGAGCCCAACTTCACCTGTGCCTCCGACGGCCTCACCTACTACAACAAGTGCTACATGGACGCCGAGGCGTGTCTGCGCGGCACCCGCCTCACCACCGTGCCCTGCAAGCACATCTTCACCTGGCCTGACACCAGCCCGGTGCCGCAGGAGACCACGGCGCGCCCCACGCCCGGCGCCGGCCCCGAGGTGCCGGTGCCCCCCGCCCTCTATACCAACCCCTTCCACCAGTCCGTGCGCGCCGGCGGCACCGTCAGCTTCCGCTGCGACGTGAGCGGCCGCCCGCAGCCCGACATCACCTGGGARAAGCAGAGCGAGCGGGAGGAGAACTTCATCATGCGGCCGGACCAGATGTACGGCAACGTGGTGGTCACCAACATCGGCCAGCTGGTCATCTACAACGCCCGCTACGAGGACGCCGGCATCTACACCTGCACGGCCCGGAACGCCGCCGGGCTGCTCCGCGCCGACTTCCCGCTGTCGGTGGTCAGGCGGGAGCCGGGGGGGACCCCGCGGACCGGCAGCCCCCAGCCCTTCCCCAGCGCCGAGTGCCTGAAGGAGCCGGACCGGCGGCGCTGCGAGGCCACGGAGGTGCGCTGGCACTTCGATGCCAAGCAGGGCTCCTGCCTCACCTTCCGCTACGGCGGCTGTGGGGCAAACAGGAACCACTTCGAGACGTACGAGGAGTGCCGAGCCGCCTGCCTGGGCAGCGCCCGCCCCACCTGCCTGCTGCCTATGGTGCAGGGGCCCTGCCAGAACTGGGAGCCGCGCTGGGCGTACAACCACCTGCTGAAGCAGTGCCACTCCTTCGTCTACGGCGGCTGCGAGGGCAAYACCAACAACTTTGAGAGCAAGGAGACCTGCGAGGACGTGTGCCCTTTCCCCAAGAACCTACAGTGCAAGGCATGCCGTCTGAAGAGCAAGATGGTGCTGAGCCTCTGCCGCAGCGACTTCGCCATTGTGGGGCGGCTGATGGAGATCGTGGAGGACCAGGACTCYGGCATCGCCCGCTTCGCCCTCGAGGACGTCCTCAAGGATGAGAAGATGGGCCTCAAGTTCTTCAACATTAAGTACCTCGAGGTGACCTTGACTGACATGGACTGGAGCTGCCCCTGCCCCAACATGACAGCGGAGGACGGGCCTCTGATCATCATGGGCGAGGTGCACGACGGAATGGCCACGCTGGACCCCAGCAGCTACGTCCGGGCAGCCAACGACAAACGGGTGAAGAAAATCTACGAGCTGATGGAGAAGAAAACCTGCGACCTCCTGAACCGCTTCCAGGACTAGCGGAGAGCCGGGATGCGCCGCCGGGGGGAGCTGCAAGACACCATGGAGGGGGCAACCTGGGCGAGCCCCTGCAGCAGCGCCTGTATCTCGAGGTTACCACTGACATGTAGCGGCCCCCAAGCCCATGCTGAGCCCCAGACCAGCTCCCACCTCCCCTGTAATTTATCTGCCGCGTGTTCCCCCCCCCCGTCCCCCCCCCACCCCCAGCCTGTGTAGCAGCAATAGGGAACTGAGTTGGATTGCAGAGGAGTGGGAGATCTGCCAGGACCACCCCACTCACAAATCTTCCCACCTCACCAAAGCCTCTGGGCCCAGTGTAGCACCCTGGTGCTGGACATGACCCCTTCACCGGTGTTGGAAGTGGAACTGGGGACCCCCACCCAAAGGATTTGTGCTGAAAACATCGGGGAGGTGCTGGGTRTGGAGGGCAAAGCCACAGTTTATTGGGGGGCAGCAGTATAATCCTGGGGAGGGGGGAAGGGGGCAGGCCCTCTGCCATTGGCACAGCATCCTCGGAGGAAATGGAGCAAGGAGCCTCCCCCATGCCCCATGCCCGGGGTGCTGTGTCCCCTCCCCCACACCTGTGTCCTCCCCCGTGGCAGCTGCGATGGTTCCTGTGGTCCAGGCTGGCGCACCCCACKGCAAAGGAAGCCCCAAAGGCACCGGGGGTGATGGACACCCCAGCCAAGTCAGCCCCAGCTGGGGTGAGAGGGGCCCTGTCCCGTCACTACTGTCCCCAGCCCCACTGGCAGCCATGGCGGGACAGTGACACCCCTTGAAGAAGCATCGGTGGGGACAGCGGTGGCAGGAGGTGCCATAGGCACTGTCAGGGCGGGTCACAGCTTGCGGAAGATCAGGCTTTTGTTGTTGGCCGGCATGTCCACCTGGGAGCACAGAGCCGGAGCTCAGGGCTGCGCAGCAACACGGAGAGCGCCCCTGACCCCGGCACCCACCATCCTCTCCAGGGCCCCAGCACCCACCATCCTCTCCAGGGCCCCAGCACCCACCATCCTCTCCAGGGCCCCAGCACCCACCATCCTCTCCAGGGCCCCAGCACCCACCATCCTCTCCAGGGCCCCAGCACCCACCATCCTCTCCCGAGCCCCAGCACCCACCATCCTCTCCAGAGCCCCAGCACCCACCATCCTCTCCAGGGCTCTGGCACCCACCATCCTCTCCAGGGCTCTGGCACCCACCATCCTCTCCAGAGCCCCAGCACCCACCGTCCTCTCCAGGGCCCCAGCACCCACCATCCTCTCCAGGCGCAGCCCGTTGTCCTCGGCCAGCTCCCGCAGCAGCGCCGTGTCCCGCAGCCCCCAGGCGGGATTGCTGCGGGAAGGGGGGCCCGGGTCACACACGGTGACATCCCCCCACAGCATCCCCATCTGCCGGAGTGCCCCGGCTGGGGGTGCCCTCAGGCGTTCCTTATCTTGCAGGAGCACGCTGGGAGGGAGCTTCCTGCAGCTGCAGGAGCGGGACAGAGGGGACAGGATGGGCCCCAGCAGCCTGGGACCCCCCCGCCCCCTCCTACCTCTGCCTCAGGCTGCGGTCAAAGTCCACGTTGCTCTGGGGGCTGATGTGGCCRTCCACGGCGTAGGGCTGGTGGGACACAGCTGGAGCTGTGGGCATAAGCCACCCTGTGTCCCCCAGCCCCCCTTCCACGGGCTGCTGCCCCCACCACACATAGAAACCAAGCGGGAAGAGACACGGCCCCAAAGGGAACCATGAGTCCCATCAGCCCCTGGGGGTCCTGTCACCCTCTGCAACCCCCCCAAGACACTGCCTCAGATAAGGTGAGGGAGGACAGGATGTTTCTCATCCAAAACTGCCCCTTTCAGGGCTCAGCATATGCCCCAAAAGGCAGAGACCCCCCCCAAAACCCAAGCTCCTGCCTTTCCCAGTTGCCTCCCCAAGCCATGCCTGGAGCTGCCCTCCCACCTGCCTCCCCCCCGCATCTGCTCGGACACGCAAGGCCCCCAGGATGCTCCTGCACTGGACAGGTGACCCACCCCATAGGTGAAGAGCACACCTCCGGGCTTCAGCAGCACCCCGGCACCCCTGAACAGGCCCTGGGGAACGAGAGAGGTGGGGACCAGCTCAGGGGTCTGGGGACACCCTCTGAGAGCCCCCTCCTCAGCCCTGGCAGSGGACAGGGGCCGGCGAGGGCTGCTCACCTCGRTGCAGCGGAGCTCTGYGATGTGCATCATGTTGATGCTGACGAGGAGGTCCAGGGTGGCGGGCTGGGTKCCCCCCCAGCTCTCCCAGCCCTGGGACACGTCCAGCGGGATGGGGGGCAGCAGGTTGGGCAGCCCCGCGGCCTCCACGTAGGCAGCRATGCTGTGGGCAGCAAACCCCAGCTCAAGGGCCCCCCGTGCACCCCCAGCACCCACTGCAGGCACAGACAGAACTCCCAGATGGGCTCAGATGGGGAATAAGGGCGTGGGTGCAGCACAGCCTGGGGGCTCCTTGCCCAGCCCTTTGCTTCCACTTGGCAGATGGACAACTGGAAGCACCCGAACTACCCAGCAGCAGCACGTGGATGGAGAGGCCCCAGGGCCTAAACTCCCCAATTTCGGAGCACCCTGCCCTTGTGGGGCACCCCACTGGTACCACTGCACTGCAATCGYCTGATTTTGGTGTAATTTACACCCTTTTTGGCACATTCACCACCCACGGCTCAGCTCCTGCAGCCTCCCAGCCTGGGGATTACTTTTACTCAGGGTGGTGGGTGCTGCTGGGTGGGCAGCACAGAACTCCACCTGGACAGGCGCTGATTCTGGGACCCCCACCAGGCCTATTTTCTTCTGGATTTTGGGACTTTTCTGAGAAAAAATAAAGTTCTGAGCTGGTGAGCATGGGCTGTTTGGGAGCTGGATATTGGGGATTTATTGAAAAAAATAAAGTGAGTATTAACTTGGGGAGCCTGGGCTGGGCAAGAGTTGAATATTGTTGTTTGCCTGGAAAAAAAATAAAGCATCAAGCCAGAGACCCTGGATTGTCCAAGGGGATCTTTGCTAGGAAAAAAAATACACATTAAGATAATCCAAAAACAGGCTATTGGAGTTTTCCTGGAGAAAAAATAGAGCACTGAGCAGGGGAACCTGGGCTGCTGGAGAGTTGGATATTGGATTTTTCCTGAATAAAGAAACGAAKTGTGGAGCCTGGGCCCACTGCTGAATCGGTTTTCTGTGAAAAAAATATGCATCCAGCTCATTCAAGAGTTGGATACTGGGGTTTTCCTGGAGAAAACACAGCACTGATCAGGAGAGCCCGGGCTGCAGGAGAGTTGGATACTGGGGTTTTCCCAAAATCCCCAAACGAAACAAAATAAATTAAAAAAAAAAATAAATAAAACGGGGAGCGGGGAACCCCGCGAGTCCACAGGCCGGCGGGAGGGGGCCGCAGACGGCGACCCCCACGCCCCCCAACCCCCCGGCCCCCCGGCCCCGCTCACCTGCGCAGCGCCCGCGGGTCGATGTCCGAGGGCTGCCAGCGCGTCTGCGGCAGCGCCCGCGCAAAGTGCGCAGCGTGGAGCCCCGCGCCCGCGCCCACCTCCAGCACCCGCAGCGCGCCCGGCCCCGCGTACTCCCGCAGCACCGCCAGGATCGGGCCCTTGTTGCGCTCCGCGGCCGCCGGGACCTGCATGGCCGGGGCGGGCGGGGGAACTACAGCTCCCGGCACCCCCGCGGGACCGCCCCCACGCACCGCGGGTGGAGCTTCCCACGGCGGGGAGGGGGAAAAAAGGAGAAGGAAGGGAAAAAGGAAAGTGCGCCGCCCGGGAATCGAACCCGGGTCGCAAGAATGGGAATCTTGCATGATACCACTACACCAGCGGCGCGGCCGGGAGCGAGCGAGCTGCGCCGCCACTCGGAGCCGCCAGCGCCGCAGGAACCCGGGCCCGGGGCTGCGCCATGCACCGATACCCCCGGCAGGGGCAAGCTGAGGCTTTGCGCGGACCCACGGGAAAATGGGAGCGGGGGAGGGACACCCCCCCACCCTCTCCGCGACAGCTGTCACTGGTGATGGAGGTCTGGAGGGATCCATCTGGAGTACAAGGATTAGGAGTTCAGAGCTTCCGAGCATGGAAAAGCTCAGGGATGCACCCACAGGAGCTTAAAAACCCCGGGCATGTCCGGGGGGAAACTGAGGTACGGCCCCTGGCATGTGACAGGGCGGGTGACAGCCAGCGGTGGCATCCCGCGGGTTGTATTTAGGCACAGTAACASGGTTGGGGGTGACAGCACCGGATGCCCACCCGCGAGAGGTCCRCGGGTGCCTGGCACCCACCAGGGTCAGGCGCAGCTGTGCTTTTATGGGAGGGACCCTCCTGCACCTCTCCCTTCCTGGCCACTGCCGTGGCGGAAAAGCGTCACCGTCGTGGGGTGGCTTTGCAGCCCCTGGAGCCAGGCTGGAACCTCCCAGACACCCCCGTGGGTTTGTCGCAGGGTCTCTCCCCAAACTCCTGGTGCTGTCACCAGCCAGCCACAGGGGTGGCCGGGGAGCAGCTCCGGGGTCATATCCTGGGTCTGCACCTCCCGCCACGTGGGGACACTTTGGCGGGACCTCCTCGCTCCAAAGGTCACCGTGCTGGCCGGGAMGCGGCTGCCCACTCCGGCTTCTTGCGCTGGTCATGGGATGTCACAGCGCTGTCCCCGTGCGGGTGGCGCCTCAACCCCGGCTTCTGCACCCCCTCATTTTTCCCTGCCTGGGTTCTCTGAGTCCCAGAAATGACCCCTGTCTGTCCCCTGTGTGTGCCGTGGCACCAGTGTTCTGCGTCCTGAAGTCCCCTCCATGTTTTCTGTGACTCCTGTGTCCCCTGCGTGCCTGTGCCGTCTTGTGTCCCACGTGCCTCCTGTGCCCTCTCCCCTACTTGATCCCCGCGTGTCCCAACGTCCCCTCTGTGCATTCTGTGTGTCCTGTGTGCGTCCTGTGTCTCCCACAAGTCCCACATGTCCCCTCTGTGTCTCACGCATGTACCCGGTTGTGTGTGCCCTCCATATCCCACGTGTGCCCCTGATGTGTCCTACGGATGTCCCATGTGTGTCCCCTTGTGCCCCACGTACACGTACCCTGCTTGTCTCCAGCGTGTCCCTGCATCCCGCGTGTCCCCATCCTGCGTGTCCCTGCATCCCGCGTGTCGCTTTAACCCCCCATGCGCGACCCGACAAGTCCCGCGTGTCTCCAGTGCGCGTTCCCACATCCCACACACTCCCCCAGTGTATCCCATTAATGTCCGCTGTGTGTCCCCACATCCCCTGTGTGCGCCGAGCGTTCCCACATCCCACATATTGTCCCTCGCGTGCCCTGCATGTGTCCCACGCACCGCCCACACGTACCCTGACGCGTCTCGCGTGTCCCGTGTGTCCCACATTCCGCGTCTGCCCCCGCTGCGTCCCGTGCGTGTCCCCTACGTGTGTCCCACAACCCATACATGTCCCGTACACACCACGCATGTGTCGCAAATGTCGCATGTAACTCCGCACGCCTCCCGCGCGTTCCCCCGCCCTGTCCCTTGCGTGTCCCCCGCGCCCCCCGCGCTCCCCGCGCGGTCCCTTTAAGCGCGGGGGCGTGTCGGTGCTGGCGGGGCCGCCCGGCCCGGCCCGGCCCGTTAAAGGCCCCGGTGAGGGGCGCGCACGGCACTCGGGCGGGGGCGGCGGGGCCGTGGGGCCAGGGCCCGCAGGATGTACACGCTGACGCGCGGCCCCAGCAAGCTCGCCACGCAGCGCCGCACAGGTACCGGGGGGCGCGGGGGCCGGGGGGGCGCGGGGGCTCCATCCCGCCCCGCGCTGCCCCTCTGACGGCCGCACCCCCCGCAGGTCCCACGCAGCAGGCGGTGGAGAGCAGCAAACTGGGCGAGCTGCGGGGGCGGCCGCAGCTCGGCCCGTGGCCCCCCGCCAGGTGAGCCCCGCCGTGACCTTGGGAAGGGGACCGGCACCGGGGCGGCCGGGCCGTGACCTTGGGAAGGGGACCGGGACGGCCGGGCCGCCCGACGGGACGCGGCAGGGGGACCTGGGGGTCTCCGCTCGCTGTTGCTCCTCTCGGGGGTCTCGGCCGTGCCGGTGCCCGTGCGCGTCCCGCGGAGCGCCGTACACGCGTGGCGTGGGCCGCCCCGCGCCGGGGACGCGCCAGACTCGCCGCCCTTCCTCTTTGCCACGGATCAGCCCCGAAAATCGCGGGGAGCGGGAGTGTGGGGTCACGCCAAGGAGGCGGCGCGGGGGGGTCCCGGTGCGGGGCAGAGCCGGGGCCGGGCTTGTCCAACCCCCCCGCGCCGGCCCCGCGGACGGCCCCGATTGCACAAACCGGCGGCGGGGCCAGCGTGTGACCGCCCGTCTTGGCCGCGCCGCGCACCCACGGGGGCCGCGGAGACCACGCGGAGCTGCCGATCTCCTCTGCCCCTAAAGCCGGGGGGACGTTTTTTGGGTGAATTYCAGCGTCCAGCAGCGATCCCTGGAGCTGTTGGGTGGGTGCTTAGGACGATGCCAGTGGCTTGGGGTGATGACGGGACCCCTAAGGAGACGCTTTCTGGGCTAGAGGGCTGGGGTCTAAGCACACGCAGACAGGGCAGTGGGACCCCTCTAGTTCTGCACGTCCTCTCTGGCTCCAAGAAATGGATAAGAGCTTCSCCATCCAGTTCCCCTCCTTCCCAGGATCCCTGTAATTCCCGGGGGTTGCTGCTGCTCTCACCCTGCCTGCCCAATGCCCTCGGCTGTGGGGTGTGGGGGTCCCTGCCCTCCCCAAGCCTTGCCTGCACACCTGCAGGAGCAGCCTGCTCTCAGTCTCTCCTGACGGCCAAACCCACTCCCAGGGCCCCTTAGACTTTGTCCCATGAAGAACCTGGCTGTTGCAGACGTGTCCCGCCTCAGAGCTGGGCAGAAAAGCCAAAATACTTTTTTGCTTTGGCATGCCCTGCATCTCATCCCAAGCTTTTCCTTTGGCTCTGTCTGCAGTCACCATGTCCGGGCAGGGGGTGGTTGAAGTGCCCCTCGCCAGACAGGACYCGCAGCTCTGAGGAAGCCTGACCTGCACCCACTTGGCAGAGGGTTACATCCCAGTCCTGGGACATCTGGGGGACATGCTGGGGACCCAGTGAACTTGGGTGCTTGGTCTGCAGGGGATGGCACATGCCCTGTCCAGTWCCTAACTGCATTTCACTTCCATTTCCTGATATTCCTGCAATTTTGGTGGCAGATCCTTTATTTTAGGTACTGCACTTGGTGCTGGGTTGGAGGATGGGTGGAAGATGGGCAGCTGATGCTTTTCTCAGGGGAGCTGCCCTTGCACCCCTCCTGTGTCACAATTCCCTACCCCTGGGGGCTGGATCCCTTTCCATCCCAGCCCTTGGGGATAGGGCGGGGTGACTGCAGCTGTGGGTGAGTGTGCACACCACAGGGCAAGCCGGGACACTTGAAGAGCCCCAGTTCTTGCTCCAAACTGGGCTGGGCAGAGCTGCCTGTGCCCTCACCCCCACCTTACTCCCTGCCTCCACAGCCCAGCGCAGAAACTCGTCTTCAACAGAGTGAATGGCAAGAGGCCCCCGCTGCTGCTGCAGCAGATCTCGGCCCCTGAGGAATGCTACACACTGGCCCACGAGGAGAACGTCCGCTTCGTCTATGAAGGTGAGGGCAGAGAGTCCCTGGGGCAGTGCCTGGGSGAGCTGGAGCATGTGGAGCGCCTCCCCAGCACCTACACCAGGCAGGGGACATCAGGCAGGGGCAGGGATGGAGGCCCCAGCCTGGGCATCTGCCCTCCTTTGCTCTGCCTCATGCTCCTGTCCCCCAGCCGCCCACACTGGGAAGCCCTGTCCCAAACTCACCCAGTGCCTCTTCCCCTCCCTAGCCTGGCAGCAGGTAGAGCAGCAGCTGGACAGCAGCCAGAGAGAGGAGAGCRCCCACGGCCCTGTGCAGTATGTGGAGAAAACCCCCAACCCTGGACTCAAAAGTAAGTGGGAAATGGTTGTGGCACTTAGGTGTGCATCAGGCTGGTGTGGGCTCAGCCTGCACCTGAGCAGGGCCATGGTGGATGGAGGAGAAGGATTCCAGTGCTGGACGTGCCAGAGGGGCTGGTTGGGTCTGTCCTGCTGGTGCGGAGGCCACGCTGGGGGAGCTGGGGGAGACAGCTGCCCCCAGGCACTGCGGTGGGGATGTCCCACTGTGTCCCTTGGAGGACACTTGGTTGCTGACTCCTGTGGGATTCAGGCCTTCTCCAGCCACCAAGGAGTTCAGCACTGTGCTAGAGATGGAGCCCCTCTTGGGGACCTCCTTCTCCTGGGGCCAGCAGGACCAAGCAGGCACAGGGACAGCRCTTGTCTGGTGGCAGCTGGTGTCAGGGCAGTGGCAGCAGCTTGGGAGCTTTGCAGCGGCCGAGTGCTCCCCAAAGAAGAGAATGACTCTTTAAACCCACTCTGGCCTTTTAGGGACATGGCACAGGGGTGGAGGAAACYTGGGGGTGGCATTAGGCTGGATCTCAGGGAAAGGTTTTTCTGTCCCCCAGAGGGTGCTGGCACTGCCCAGGCTCCCCAGGGAATGGTCCTGGCCCCGAGGCTGCCACAGCTCCAGGAGCGTTTGKACAACACTTTCAGAAATGCACAGGGTGGGATTGTTGGGGTGCCTTGGCAGGCCCAAGGGCTGGACTGGGTGATCCTTGCGGGTCCCTTCCAGCTCAGGATATTCTGTGATTTCATGGTTGTTTTTTTCTGGTAGTTCAGCGGGAGAGCACCGAGAGTTCTGCTCCTGCTCCAGCTGGTCCCCTCTCTTTCAGACTTCGTTCCCATTGACCTGGAAGAGTGGTGGGCACAGCAATTTCTGGCGAAAATCGAGAACTGCTCATAAAAGGGAAGAAAAGGTTGCGTTTGGTTTCTTTTTGAGAGAAACGAAGCTGCGAGCACCTGGTCACACCCCAGAATTGGTGGCATTTTTGAACCACATTTTTAAAACGTGCCCGGAGTGGAGTGAGCCAGCCCAGCGGGACCGGACCACAGCCATGCCCGGCCACGCGCCCTCCCCATGCCCGGCAGAGGAGCGGCGTGCGGCCTGGGCCAGGATTCCTTAAGTGCCAGTTCTCGGACTGCTGCAGCTCCTGCAGCCTCCAGCTCCCAGGGACACTGCGGTGCCATGCTGGGGACGAGGGAGTGGCTCCCCCCCTGCGGCCGTAACCACGGGGAGGAAAGGGGGGGCTGTAGCAGGACTGACAGACAATAAAGCGCTGAAACTGCCCGTGGAGATGCGCTTGTGGGATGGGAGGAGGGAAGCAGGGGGTGGCAGCATCGTGCCCTAGAGAGGGGATGCTCCCAGCTGACCTGTCCCTCAGTGRGTGCCTGGCTGCTGTGGATTCCAGGGCTTGGAGCTCCTCTTCCTTGGAGCTGCATCCTTGGCCCAAGTGTTGCCTCTCTTCCAGGGCTCAGTCCAGGACTGGTGCCGTCTTAGGTGATGTTTGGGATTGAGGGGGGCGTATGTGYGCATCTGCAGGGGGCCTCAGAGCGTGTAGGGGAGCAAAGCTGCAGGAATAGGGGTGCCAGGGCCAGCCCCCCGCTGCCATAGARGCCAAAAGGCATTTTGAGTGCCAAGCTCAAGATCTCCCTCGCACCTATGGTTGTTTGGGGGAAGCTAAGGGAGGACAGTTCTGGATGCCGAGGGGAGAAAGGATGGGACCCAACTTTTGCTTCCACAAAAGAACKCAGCTGCTGGGCATTTCCAAGCCAGACTGAGCCTTCCCAGTTCTGGTTCTGTAGGACACCCCTCTACCACCCCCCTGTCCTTTTCCCCAAAGCAGAGAGAAGGAGGCCTGAGCAGAGTCTGATTMCAAAGGAGGCCAGGACACACCACTGGAAAAAAAATCATCTTTATTATTCCTATGATGGGAATAACCACATTGCAGCCAGTGGGGAGTAGCAGCTGCCCAGGAGCCGTGTTGCTTCTCCCACCTGGGAGGCCAGAGCGTGCCAGCAGCAGCTGTGCCCTGGCAGCACATGCCCACGCAGCACTCCTGGTCCTGCTCCCTGCCCGGGGCTGGCATGCCTAGCACTGGTGGCTGTGACTGAAATCAGGAGCAGCACCATGCACAGCTCACAGTGCTGGCCTTGCTGCTGGGGTTATAGCCCCGTGGGACAGGGAAATGCTGCTTCCAGAACACTTCCTACATTTAGGCCAGGATGGCCCCAGATGATGCAGGGCTGGGGCCAGGAGATGCCATCCTTGCCATGGACTCCTGTCCCAGCAGCTCTGTGACGCCTCATGGGGGCTGTGGGGGTTATGCTGCCTCAGWGTCCCCCGCCAGCACCAAGCCTTGTAGGGGGATTGCCAGCACCCCACCAGGACTGGGAGTGCTGCTGCTGTGCTCAGGGCACTGCCAGCCTCCAGCAATTTTGCATCTCACCCCTGAAACCCCATTCCCAGTTTCCCATCCCAGGCAAAGCCTGGGAGGCTCTACTACACCCTGCTGTACTTCCCTTTCCAGAAAATAACACTTAGTGGGAGTTTCAGCACTTGAGGCACCCCTCCAGCAAAAAGCATCCGCTCTTCCCTCCCTGGCAAAGTCACTGGTGCTGGGATTCCCTCCTGCATGGTGCCTTTGGCAGGGGCTGACTGGTGCCCACCAGGATGCTCCCAGAGAAAATCCCTCCCTGCCAGCAGCTCCAAAGGGCTCTGAGGTGTCCAGGGAGGCCATTCACCTGCTGGCTGCTGACTAATAAAAACACACATCTTTAAGATCCGGGGAAATTCTTAGTAACATGATGCACCATCATTCTGAACAACAACATTAGGCAAAGGGAAGAAATGGAACAGGAAAGAATGAGTCAGTCACAAGGAAAAAAAATGAAAACCCAACCCAAAAAATATAACCCAACCCCTGACAATGCAATCACTGAGCTGGAATCAGCCCCCCTTGCCATAAATACTAATTAGTTATGTGCAATTGTGTGTAGTACTATAGTGCAAATAGCTCTGCATTGATCATGGGGCATCACCCGAAGGGCTGCCCCAGGTGACACAGGGACTAGTTAAGGACAGACAAGAATCAACACAGATTCCCAACAAACAAACAAACAAAAAAAAAMCCCCAACCCAGCYACTGGGAAACTCTGAAAACAAGTTGCCACCTCCAAGTAGGCCCATGCGGGGCTGGGCAGTGCTGGTGCCCAGCAGCATCCCAGAGCCAGGCAGGGGCAGGACAGGGTCTTGCTCCCTGCCTGCTGCTGGAGCAGGCCAGTGAGGGGCAGAGGGGATGGGGATGAGGAGGGGGATGCAGGACAGACATGGTCTGGTTGGAGCTAGGGCATGTAAGGGGTGAGCTCAGCAGGACATGGGCAGAGCGAGGACATCGGTGGCTTCACAGTGGTCCCGTGGCTGCACAGCACAGTGTGGGGCAGTGCTGCTGGCAGAACCCCTGCAAGGGCACAACGCAGGCCAGCAGCGTCCCTGGGCACCCTGCACACTTCACACCCATCCCACYGAGCACAGCCAAGAGCCTGCAGCACCTCTCACCCATCCCAGCAGTGCCTCCAGGGACCTTGTGGCACCTCTCACCCCTCCCAGGAGTGTCCCCGGGCCCCCTCACCCATCGCCACCTCCAGCCCTGGCTCCCCAGCCATGCCCATCACGTGCTGTTCCAGGGGCCGAGCTCTGGGCATCRGTCCAGTACCATGTCCTACCTCTCACCCAGTGCCAGCTCCTGGCACCACACGGCTCTCCTTGCATGGCTGGGGCTGCTGCCAGCTTCTCGGGCCAGGCTTGGCAAGCAGGCAGGAGACAAGAGTTTTCCCAACCAGTTAAAGGAGACAGAGCCTCCTCTTTCCCAAGCCAGGCAGGGGCCAGACAGAAGCTGAGCTGTCTCTCCCTAGCTGGACACAAAGTGCTTCCACGGGCGATCCCAGTGCATCCTGTGCCCCCAGGGACGGTTTGGATCTGAGCTATGTGACAGCCTCCTGCTAAACCATGAGCAACCACCAAACTACACACGGACATGCAGGTGAGACCGCGAGGCAGCGTCCCGCTGGGCATAAGCGATGGGCAGGGGAGAGGGGAGCAGGGGAGGATCCCACTCCTCCTCTGCCAGCCCAACACCCTCTGCACCCATGCAGGCTCCTCCCGGCTCCTTGGGCAGATCCATTTTCTCGATGGACGGATGAAGGCTGGAGAGTGGCAGCATCACATGTGCACACACACACACCCACACGTGCCCAGAGCCTGCGGCGGCAGCAGGAGCACTGCCATCCTCTCACCCCTCCCCGGTGAAAAGTTTTACATTTATACAGTATTTAAGACACGCTGATATATAAATWACTGTCTCTATATATACTATGTATAGGCTGAGGGCCAGTCCATGATGAAGAGCACCTGAGGGGCTCATTTCCCTCTGTCCTCTGTGTAGTGCTGGAAGCGAGTGAAGCTCATGAAGACCTGCTCCAGGGAGATCTGGCTCACCGAGTAATCTTCCAAGCGGTACTTCTCTTTGGCTTTCTCCAGGGCCCCAAAGACCTGCAGGGAAGGGCAGGGACATGAGAGTAGCGTGACTTGGTGAGAGGGGACCCCAAAGATGTCAGGGGAAGCCCAGGCTCTGACAGAGAACCCCAGCCTGTGACAGAAGAACCCCAGGCTGTGACAGGGAATGCCACACTGTGATAGGGAACCCACAGGCTGTGACAGAGAACCCCAGGCTGTGACACTACACTGTGACAGGGAATGCCACACTGTGATGATAGGGAACCCACAGGCTTTGACATGGAAAGCAGAGAAAGCTTTTTTTCTCCAGGAGGCCCAGGCAGGAGAATGAGGGAAAGCCAGGAGTGTCTGACACCATTTAAAAAGACATGCTGTSTATGTGATTGTTTTACATATTTATATATGATACATGCATATACATATATGTGTGTGTGTATTCATATATATATACACATATCTGGGCATGAATCCCTGCTCAAGGCTTCTGCTAACACGTATATAAAATAGTTACACAATATAGAAAAAACTACCTATGATATTATATACCCTATCCATAACTATCTGTATACAGCATAYAGAAAATTTTTATATTTAGCTACATATAATATAWATAAATATATTTATAAACTCACTCTCTCTAGTTATTTAATCCTATTTAWAGTTTTTATACAATCTGTACACTATGTACTCTCCCTATATAGTGTATATACATTCTATACACTATACTATATTCTTCATATAGAGTATATATCCCAGAATACAAAATCTGTATGGAGTATCACCATACACTCTATAGAGTATATAATACAGCATATATATACAATATATATACTACATACAGTGTATTATATACACTACAGACAGTGAATATAGTATGCAGATACATAAAAACCTATATATACTTAGTGCATATGAAAACCATCTGGACACTATGAATATCTGTATACTATACATGTGTTTATATATGGATAGTGTACATATAGACAGTATATAGAGACATACTATGTATATACTTGATATGTAACTTTGTATAGTGTATGCAGAGGGTTACACACTGCTGTTATATACAGTATGTACATATACAGGATTACACACTGTATCTKTACTGTGGGTTTTTATAAGCATCCCTGGGCTGGGATCCCTCAGGATCCGTGGCTGGGTAAAGCCACTGTCCCCAGCCCTGGTGGGAGCACAGGGTGCCCACATGGCACAACCTGAAGCCTTTGCYGGGGTGCCTGGGGCCAGGGAGCAGGAAAACCGTGCCCACCTGTGCCCACAGGGGAGTGCAGGGTGGGAGTGATGCTCTACTGAAAGGAAAGCACCAAGAACACAGAAAGGGGCAGGAGAAGGGTTCCCAGCACACCCTTACCTGTGCCCAGCTGAGGTTCTTGTTGGTCAAGTGGTAATGCACCATGCCCTGGTGCTCGTGCTTCAGGACACTGCCTGGGGAATGGAACAAGGAGAGGCTCTGGGTTAGGGAATGTGCTGAGTTCACACCCAGCACCCTGCTGCTCCCAGGGCAACTGCTCTGGCAGCTCACGGTACCTGGGAAAGTCTTCTCCACAAAGGCCTTGAAGGCCTGCAGCTCGCCCTCCTCCTCACTGCGAGTTTTGGCCAGCAAGGTATATCCACTGCCAAACTTGCTYTTGAGGTGCTGGGGGCTGCCCAGGCACTTGAACTGCCCATTCACCATGATGGCCAATCGTGTGCACAGCGCCTCRCACTCCTCCATGCTGTAGGAAGGAGAGGACTTGTTCAGAGAATCCCAGGATG